GCATCGCACCGGTATCGCGGAGGTCACGGGTTCGAATCCCGTTGAAGCCCTGATTTTTTTCAGGCTTCTTCTTTCCAATTGCATAAATTGGAAAATTCACTGCGATGATCATTCTTCACTTTCATCTACTACAGCAGTTCAAATATGAATTATTTCATATATACTTCACATCAGGAACTGTTTAGTTAGTAAAAACGTAAGTGATAGCCTCTTGCAGGCGTTAAGTTAGTTGGGGCGCAGTGCGGAAAAAGGCGCAAGAAAAAATAATGATAAAAAAAAAGCGCGGCGAGGAGAACCGAAAGAACGCCTGTGGGAAAACTTAACAAAAGGTCGTTCCGGAATACCAGGATCTGGTATACCCTCTGATTGGTCAATTTTGACAGGTTTTTTTTAACAGTCGAGCGCTACTGACGCATATCAGAAATGCGATATGGCAACGAGTGACGCGGCGTTTCTCCTCTCGCGGCAATAATGACCAAGACCAAGTGGACAGATGAACAAAATTGGAGTTGCAGCAACGGCAGTAGGTATTGAGGAGATATGGACGAAGAAGCCGCAAAGCACGGAAAGTGCGAGATTATGTCTAAAATGACGTTGACGGGCCTACACAACTCCTACAGTCCATGACATTTGTACATTTGCGATTCTCTTTTCGACCTTTTCGGTCTCTCGACCTTTCGCTTCGCGGAGTTTGACACCTCTGTAATTTTCTATGTGCTAATACTTTGTTTATGCTCATTTCCAATGCAAGACATGTTTTAAAGTCTCTAAGTATTGGTTTTCGAGAAACATGCTGCTAAGTTTCGTTTTATATTGTTGACAACTGTAAATCACGAGCTGGCGGTCATGTTACGGACGGGCCCCTGCAGGCGGTCTATAAGTGGGCGGAAGGAGTTTTTGTAAGTTTGCCACAGGCGTTCTTTCGCTTTTTCTAGCCGCGCTCCCCCCTTAGTTTTTCGCTCGTCGTTTTTCGCACTGTGCCCCAACTAACTGAAACCCCTTGAAGAGACTACTTAAGCGATAACTCATCCACTGAAGTACGCGACAGCCCTCTCGGGCTGCCATTCCATTGCTCTATTCCAAATATAGAATCAGGTTATTTTGATTTATAATCAGCGGATTATTTCTGTAGAACTGTGACTTTATGAAGAACTTCACAGACACTTCCCTCCATGTTTACTTTGCTGGTAACCTCAGGATTAATAATTGCGACGGCTGCTGTAGTCGTTGGTATTTCACCTTCAATGACGCCGAGTGCAGCTCTCCTGGCCCCATTGACGGTGCGTTCTACATGCAAACCGGCAATAACCACAATCTTCACCGTCACCGCCATATTGAAGGTCACTGTAATAACATCCACAAGGGAAAGGTGCGAGTGGGATTCTGGGTTGGAAAGTGTGCCACTGGCCATGACAGTGCTGACGCAAGCACAGGCTGGGCGACGATGTCCCGGATCTTCGTTGACGAAGTGGCCAAAGCTCAGCAGTAAACACGTTGCAGATGATCAATTGGACTTTCTAGAAAAACTTTCGTATAGAATGGATAAATAAACCGTTCTGCTGTCTTCGGCAGGGTTTGTACCAGGAGTTGAAACTTTCAATTCAAATTAACTGAGAAATAAAGTCCAGGAACATTACTAAAAGGATGTCTTCTTTCAGACACAAGTTTCTTTATCATTACCTTGTGAATTTCCAACACGGATTGAACAAAAAGTATGCCCCAGTTACATACTTGGAGGTACACACCAGTGAAAGAAGATACAAATTAATGTTTCGACGATTTACCCGACAGTCTCACAAAATTCTTAACAATCGATTTAAGCGGCTCCAAAACTCCAAGATAATAATCCACTCCAATTCGACTCAAGAAAAAAAAACCCAAATCGTTTATTCATAAAAGTCGCAATAGCTAATATAAAAATTTTCTTAATTAGGCTCAAAATATGAACACGTGCGTTTCAGTAATTGGGCCAGTAATATAAACACCAACTCCAGTGTACTTTACATTATTCACGGTTTAAAACCAACGTTTTACTCACCCGTGTTTTGAATGTAGTCTATATGTCTTACCCGCTTTATTTCTTATTTAATTTGTCAATCCTTAATAGCTATGCTGATATAAAATAAACAATCCGTCCAATAAATCCTGATTCATGACAAAAACTAATCACGATTCTGCTCGATGATTCCTTCCTTCGTTTCTCTAAGTCCCCTTACAAATTAAAAGAGAAATTTAAAATCGCGCAGTTATTATCACTACGACGGTTAAAGAGACCAAATTTCATTTCTAAGTGTTTGTGTAATGAAATCGACGAACGAAATATGGCGAGGTATTGTAACTCTGTCAACATTTTTTATTCACAAAATAAAGTCATGGCTTCAACCAATAAAATGTTTTGCTTACTGACTGAAAGCCACTGTCGTAGGTCCCACTCTTGTCATATTGGTTTTCCGCTCTTTTTTGTTATATCAGTAGAATTTAGAAATAACAGGCCGGGCAGACAAAACGGACCGAGTTTGATGTGTACTTCCGCTACCGTTTAGCGCTAACACAACTCGGTCATCCAGAACGCAACGTGCACAAATATTCAACCAAAATTAACTTAATGGCTGCCACGAGTGCATACATTGAGTTATATAACTTATGAGACAGAAGTAAGTCACAGTCCGTTTTGAAAACCGATGTTAAGCAGACAGAAAAAGATGACCAGGGGAAAACAAAAGTTTTAATCTAACACGTTAGGATCAATTCGGATGGTGAAGTTTGTATGAGTATGTATTATACATAGAGCCATGTTTTGAAATTCATTATCTAATCACTGAATTAAATAAATTAAGGTGTTCTCGCCGAGTAAGACTCAAATTATAGAGACTCTATTTGTCAGTTTTTTCTTACTTTAACTATACCCTGGAGTCATTTTATTTTCGTTTTTTTTTCAGATCGCAAATCGCACCGATATAGTTATATTACAGGTAGCTACAATGTTTGAATGAAACGTGTCACAAACAAACTGTCAATGAAAGACTTGATTCTATTGGACTAACCAGACTTAGAAAGCGTTCTAGCGAATAGCATTGCACGTTAGAATGAACATTTTAATACAATTAAATATGTATGCCGTTTCACTTTTCTTGTCCTTACGAGAAGGTATCTAAACAGTCTACGAAAAATATTCTCACTCAGGCTTTGAACAGCGACAAAAAAGCAATTATGCGAGACAAGATGGCGGTAGAACCTTGCCGCAGTGTGTTAGCTAGTTTATTTTTAGTCATTTTGAACTGTTCTCTCGTTATGAAGCAGGCCGAATTTTTCTACAGCGGTTGTTGTTTTGGCTAAGACAACCCCGAGGTACAGAGTTATTTGACAGGTAAGTGATCTATAGATTCAATTACTGATATGCTAACTGACTGTGTTCAGTTATTTCGCTAGAAATTATTGTCCTCAGTCAATGAAAAATCAAATTTGCGACCCCCTTAAAAACTCATATTGTGAAGACAAATTTTGCGGTCCTTATTGGGTGAAATCATTTTAGACTGCCACTAAGTATTCGCAAAGTTTTGAAAGAAAAGAGAATGTCGATGTGTTCAACAATTTGCAATCACAATTTGTTCTCATTGAGTGCTCTCTTGATTGCGCATAATTATGTGAAACGCACATGTAGTTTTTTTGATGACCCTTGACTTTTACAATCTTAATTGCTGACGAATTTAGCAAATAAATTTGTGTTTTAAGTAGCTTCAGGGTCTTTGGCGTTTGATAATTCTTTTGGTCTGACGTGTCGGTAGGACAAAAACGTTAGCTAGCAGTATACTGTGAATTTTCATTTCTGCTGGGAATTGTGTCAGTTTTACTTCATTAAAATCGGCAATCAGACAAGAAATCGAGCATGTAGAATCGAATGATGCCGATGGAGAGGGAAGGTGAGATTCAAAAGAAGATGAGATTCAAAAGAAAATATTAAAACTTGAAACTAGCTTGGGGCTAACGTTAACCCTGCTGTACGCCTCTTGAAAACAATGAGATTAACACTGATATAGTCAGCCGTGTTTTATAGGAATCGACGTATAAATCGAGCCACAACTTTGTCCTAGGTTATATTTTCATGAAAACGACTGATTTCATTTCTCGCCTTGCTATAACGATCGATTCCAGACGTCTATTGCGCAAATGACAAATGATGCAATTAATTTTAAAACAAAAAAATTGCCTTCATTAGTACATGAATAACATTTCACCAACGTTAACACTTACGGCAATGCTGGCTCAGACAGGTAAACATATACATTTTGGTCTGTAATGGATGGGGGGGTAAAAAAAGCAAGGAAACAGCCCATTGATCAGTTTTTGTCGTCATTAAAACTTCAGTTACGCGTAAAACAAGAGTAAGCTTAAACTGTTTCCTTTGACAAAAATGTTCTTTTAATCAAGAATCTAACTGGAATCAAAGATGTTTTTATATCCAAAACTATACGATAACGTCAGGTTTATGTTTTATACCAGAAAACGTAATACCTTTCAGACAGGTATTCCACTTCTCACATATACTACACTTGACGAATTTCATTTGTAAATGCAGTCTGAGGGATTAGTATTCCGGCGGATACTCGCCGAAATTTACACCCGGCTGCGTATCTCCGCATTTCCCTACATCATTCTTACACGACGGTGACGTAAGAAGAAATCTATGCGGTCAGTCAGTAGGGATTGTAGAATTTTTATGACCGTGTTTCCTTCTGTAGTAAATTATTTTTGTTTCCTACTTGCTCTGATCAACTATCCAACTCTTCACGGCTCAATTCTGACGTCACTCTGGCGGAAGTTTGTTCAGGTATATGGATTGTTTTGTTATTAACATTTCAGTATTCACGATACCAAAGCACAAAACAAATAGTTGAAACTGCATAATTATAAAGGGTAAGATCGAAATTGGTCAAAGTAAACAAATTTCATTGTTGATTATTGTAACCTAGTCTCGATTTTCAAATAACTCGACGTTTTGAAGTTAACAAACCACACGAAGCCAAAAATCTCTAGTTTCAATTATTGCGGCATTCGATTTTGGCAGAAGTGTTAGGACTGAACTGAAGTTATTCAAAACTTCAATGGATTCGTGTTCAATGGCGAATTGAAATGTTAGGGACAAGATTTTACTTCGAGGTTTTGATATGAAGAAAATGTTGTCAGGCGCGCGGCTTGATATATCCATATCAAAGAACAAAAGACTTCAGGAAGTGTTTATAGGTATGATCGGTGTCGCTAGTTTATTTTTCGTGCTTTTCCGTTTCTTCTCCGAGTCAGTAAATACTAGCTGGGCGAGCGGGTTTTCAAGTAATTGATAATTCAATTCGTCATAAACACTAAAAGAACGTTTGCAGACACTAACAAAAGAAGCTGAACCTTTGTATGCATTTCTTCATGTGTTAAATTTCGTTTCCTACATGTTAGCCGCGTTTAGCCTCGTTTTTCGTTTCGCTTTTTGTTTGTAAATTGACTACTTTAATATAGATATCAGAGTATAAAACAAAGAAAAAGCGTGTACTGCTTTTCGACACATTATCTCTGGTCAACATTTTTGCTAGAGATGGCGGAAAACATTTTCTTTGAAGAAATTTGTGATGGAGTTTTCTGCGAAGCAGCAGAAAGTTTTGAAGACGAGGCATGTAGCACTTCAGTGGCATTAAATTGCATCAGTTTGTCGATCTGTGTGCTTCGCTGCTTCTACTCGCGGCGTGTAAAATCTATATCATAAAGCAAATGAAGAATTAAGCCTAAGCCATGTATTACACTGTGAAATGTATCCTCCAGCTCGTGTTTCCTACATTTCCCTCGTGTTCTCAAATGGCCGTCGTGTTTTATCAAAGTATAATACACGGCTTAGGCTTCTTTATTTGTTAAATACAAAATAGCAATCCAATTTCGACTGATCACGGCATGTCAACATTTTGTTCAGTTATTCTTGAAGTCAGATACTAAATTCAAGTTTGAACTAAGTTGAACTGTATTCCACAGCAGATTTTGATGTACATGTATATATTTAAAAATTCTCATACCGTGTTGTTGACAACAGCCTTTGTTGACATTATCAGTGCAGTATTCGTATCTAAATCAGAGTCATCTTCGTGATTCAAGCAAACGAATTGAAGGTCTATCTGGGCTGTGATGTCTTTTTTTCTATCTGAAAGCCATTGAAAAATATAGAATTTTATACTCTCTGTATCTGATTTGTGTCATTAAATTCTTTAATAAGAAGAGAAACTAAATACCGAACGTGCAGCGTTTGCTGCATTTTTTCCATTTTATAATTTTTCCATTTAGAATTTTATACTCTCTGTATCTGATTTGTCTCATTAAATTCTTTAATAAGAAGAGAAACTAAATAACGAACGTGCAGCGTTCGCTGCATTTTTTCCATTGCGACAGAACAAAATTGAGCTTTAAAAAACGTTGATGGTCACATTGACTGCACTAGCGAGTTTCTGCGTTTGAGGC